CTGATACTGCTTGGCCTGCTGTGTTCATCCAGCTCTACACCGTATTCCCTAGAAGTAGCCCTAGTTTCCTTTAAGGAGTCCTGATTCTTCCTTCACAGATTGGTCAATATGATTTTCTTTGTATTAGTTGTATGGATGGAGATGTGGGTGGAAGTCCATTGCTTCCTGGAGAAACGTTTACTCGCTGAAGATCATGTGGAGCAGTTTTTTGCCAAGAGCTGACTTTAACCTTGTGCCAGATTTAATTAATTTGTGCAAAATATTACACCTTCAAGTAATTGTTTAAATGAGAACAAGCAGAGGACTTGCATTATGCTGACTTCAAACAAACATTGGGACTGATGTGCATCATATCCAGTGAGACAGGGAGCTGCTGTTTTAACGCTCAGTTCATTTGTCAGAATGACAGTGCTGAGCTCTTCCAGGAACTACTACATCAGCCAAGAAAGCAGATTTGTCACTAGGTCACATGAGCAAAGTATTATAGCCCTTTTTGATGTAGCTGTGACTACCGTTCATGCAATTTACTGTCTGTTTAAAAATAGAATATAAATCACAAAGTGAAATGGCTGTCTTTATGTCTGACCCTATTTGGCCTGGCATGTTTAATAGGCTGTCTTTAGTTTACCCTTGGACTGCTTTGCACAGTAAATCAAGCAGAACATTGCATCACCTCCTTCAAATATTCCATACAATAGGAAAAAAGGACTTGCTCACAGGTCAAATGGAAATATAAAAACAGAATTGCTGAAGGGGTCAGTAAAATTGACACTTGTCCAAGTTTGTGTCAAATCATGTAAATTTCAAACTCATGGCTAAATGTAGTGTGAGAGGTGGAAGTGCGTTCTTCCTGGTGTGCATTGGAAATTCAATGGATTGGAGTGGCCTAACCAAGTATTTTACACTGACGGTGAGTTAGTTAACCTTTTGCCTCAGGCCTTCCATTCGCCTATGTCAAAATAATTGCTACAGAATGGAATTCTTCAAGTCAATCATCTATTAAAATGGGATCACAAGTGGGCGGACTTCTTTCTTTTCAAAGCTGATAGAAAAATCAACAGAAATGTGAAATTCCTATTGTAACTGTAGTTATGCTTTATTTATTCTAAATATGTTGCTACTTTACTGTGCATTGGCAATCAGTGGACCGAAAGTCATAAGCATTGGTGAAACATAGCCTCATGCAATTTTACCCCATTTCTCACCAGCTTCTCCAACCAGTCCCCCTAGTCTGCTTTTTGTTACATTGTGGTTGTCAAAGATGTCCTGAGGCAATGCCATTATGTGCCTTCTCATATCCTCCTCGACTCTGCTGTGGAATTTGACACAGCCAACCATTCCATTTCCTTCAGTACTGCATCTCGAGAGCTGCACTGTTTTCGATTCCTAATATCCTGACATAGTCAGTTTGCCTCCTTCAGCAGCTTCTTTTCTCCCTTTCTGTACGGCCACTTCACACTATTCAAAACTTTATTCTTGGCCTTATATACTTACACTTTGCTGCAATTTGGCAATATTATCGACCAATACATGAGTGGGTTTCACTGTACTTCTCTGCATCTGCCTGTGATTCCATGACTGTTGCTATGATATCTGATGAGGTGTTTAGTCTGGAGGAGGGGGGTTTGTGCTGTACCTTCAGCAGCCCCAACAAAGTTGCAATGATCCAGATCCCACTCTTGGGGACAGTCTAGTAAATGTGCAGAATGTAAATGTTAAATGTTGTTACATATCTGCACTGCTGTTCTGTTTCTGAGTGTTATAATGAGATCCATACTCAGCTATTTTAGGGGAATTACTTCTTCCTCTGCCCCCTCAACATCTGGAATATAAGAAGGATTGTATCATATCCAATGCACACTTTCTAAGAACACAGCGGGTACTCTTGTGCAGTAGTAGTATCCCTTCCTCTGGGCCAGGATGTTTGAGTTCAAATCTCCCTTGGAGATCTGAAATAACATTTAATTTGAAATGGTGCAGGTCTAGAACATGTTAAGATCAGTAAGGAGGAGCTGTTAGAATTTTTACCAGCTATACACGTACAAAAATCCCCAGGGCTTGATGAGATGTATCCCAGGCTGCTCTGGGAGGCAAGGGAGAAAATTGCTGGGAACCTGGTGGAGATATTTAATATTTCACTGGCCACAGGTAAAGTGCTAAATGACTGGAGGATAGCAAATGTGGTTCCTTTTTTCAAGAAGGACAGCAGGGATAGACCTGGTAATTATAGACCAGTAGTCTGACGTCAATGGTAGGGAAATTATTGGGAAAAGGTTTGATGGAAAGGATTACTCAACCCTTGGAAAGGCAGGAATTGTTCAGGGCTAGTCAGCATGGACATGTTAGACGGAGATCCTGTCTGACTAATTTGAGTTTTTTGAAAAGTTGACACTAAATAAATTGATGAGGGTAATGCAACTTATGTTGGTTAAATAGACTTCAGTAAGGCCTTTGACAAGATCCCACATTGAATGCTGATACAGAAGGTAAGAGCTCATGGGATCCAAGGCAAGTTGGCAAGCTGGATCCAAAATTGGCTTGCAAATAGGAGTCAAAGGGTGATGGTGGAGTGTTGTTTTTGTATTTGAAGCCTGAGACCAGAGGTGTACTGCAGGGATCGGTGCTAGGACCCTTACTGTTTGTTATGTACATAGTGTTAATGTCAAAGGTATAATTAGTAAGCTTGCAGATGACACAAATAATGGTGATAGTGAGGAGGATGGTACAGTCTAATAATAATCAGCTGGTAAATTGGGCAGAGTAAAGGCAGATAAAATTTAATCTTGATAAGTGCGAGATGATAAATTTTGGAAGGTCTAATAATGGAAGGATATACAAAATGAATGGTATGTCCCTAGGGTGCTGAGGTACTGAGGAACAATGTGACCTTGGTGTACAAGTCCATAGATCCCTGAAGGCATAGGCAGACAGGGTGGTGAAGATGGCATACAAGATGCTAGCATTCATTAGCCAGGACATAGAGTATGTGAGCAATAAAGTCTTGTTACAACTTTTTAAAAAATTGGTTAGACCACATATGGAATACTGTGTGCAGTTCTGGATGTCTCACTATCAGAAGGATGTGATTGCATTCGAGAGGGTGCAGAGGAGATTCATGTGGATGTTGCCTGGGATGAAAAGTATTAGTTACATGGAGAGAAATGGATAGGCTGGGTTTGTTTTCCATGGACCAGTGGAGTCTGAGGGGGCCATCTGATTGAAGATTATAAAATGATGAGAGGTATAGACAGAGTAAATCACAAGAATGTGTCTAAGACCATAGGGCACAGGTTTAAGGTGAGGAAATCTGAGAATTTGATTTTCACTCAGAAGGTGGTGGAAATATAGAATGTGCTGCTTGAGAAAATAGTAGAGGCAGGTACACTTGCAACATTTAACAAGCATCTCAATGATTACTTAAAACACCCAAGGCATGGTAGACTTTGGACCAAGTGCAGGTAAATGGGATTAGTGTAGTTTGGTGCTTGTTAGTCAGTGTAGACATGGTGGGTTGAAGGGTATGTTTCTACGCTGTATAACTCTATGAACATGCCCAAACAAATTGATTCAAAATACATACAAGAATGCGGGTTTTTAAACAACACTGCCTGATCAAATTAAATTTAATGTAAAATAACAGTGAAAAGTGACTCTGGGAGTGACCAGTATCACTTCATGTGAGAGTAACATGTAAGAAACTAAAGATCATCATATTTGGAATCAGTTCCAGTGGCATTTTACGTGACCTGTAAGAGCAGGAATTATCCTGAGAGTTAGAATGAGAGCCACACTTCAGATCCCTGTAGAGGGTTGGAAATCCAGATTGTGAGCTAGTAGCATGGCAGTGGTAGGCTTCCCAAGGCGGTTTCTTATTCGCCATGAAGGCTGATTATATTAAAACTTTTGGGAAGTATGTCCTACATTCAAAATTAAGTCAGAAGTGCACATAGTTCTCCTATGTTTAAGGGTGATGTGCAACAGTCAGCTTTGTGCAGTTATTACTGATGGTCAGCAGTTTCCTTTGTTACTTCATGAAGTAGAAGGGCATAAGGAGCAGGAGAGTGACAGCTTGCATAGAAGCTGGGGACTAGCAAAGGTTAGTCAGAGCTGAGTGAGGGAAGTGGGGTTAGGGGAGGGGTGGAAGGGTGTGGAGAAGGGGTTGGGGCATGGAGCAGTGGATGATCGAAGAACGAACAGAGGGTACAGTTGGCGATCTGGAGAACAGGATGCATGAAGGAGGGCTCTGGTTGGTCAACAACTGTGGCTGCAATGCTAATACCTCAAGTGAAGCCTCGTCAGGATGCAACCATCCAGGGGAGGCATTGTAGCTGACAGGGACTGGCACAATGCAGCAACAAGAACTAATGCCCAGGAGATGTTGGCGAGGTGACACCAGAGGTGGATGAAGCTGTCCTGGAAGTAGTCATTGAAATACAGCCTCATGGATACAGTGAGAATGGGAATCTCACATCAGTAACCCACAAGGTGACTCATGTCTACTGTAATATTCCAGGGCTTCACAGGTGACATTGCTGTGAATATCACAGGCTGTCACACACCAGTTCAGTAAGGGGTGATTAACGCCTACTGGCATTGTGTGAATTAATTAATCAATGACTCCATAGATGAGGACAGCGAGATGGCAAGGGCATTGGACTTCTCAGCCATCCTTTGTTTCCCTACAGTGTAAATGGTAATTTATTGCACTCATGTGGCCATTGGAGCTCAATAGAAGAAGCCAGTGGCATTTGTGAATTGCAAGGACTTTCACTTGTTGGATGTGACAATGGTCAGTGACCATGAGCAAAGAATCCTGCATGACTATGATCTTGCTCTATGACTCATATATTTTGCATAATTTACAGCTCCCAGAGCTTTCTGAGGCCCTATTCCAGGCCTAGGGCATGATCCACCATTTACAAACCCTTGTGGAAGCTAGATTGTTGCTTACCATTGACAAACCCTGACTCCTTTCTCTCCCAAGCTCTACTGTATCCCTGTTTATATATAGAGCTGCCCCCCACGACACAATTATTATCCTCTGTGCATCCTGAGACTCTGCCACCAATCCCCACAATTAAGTTCCTCCACCTCCCGTCTGCAGCAGTAACTCCCTGATAAACGCTCAATGGTGTTTCGTGGATGAACACTCCAGACTGACGACAGACCAACGGCCTTGAGTGACTTAGCCAGATGGCCCTGAACAATGGGTGGCCAGACCAGCACGACACGTGTACAGCTCCCCGACTATGTCCCTGAGACTCCACAGTTGGGTTACCTTGGCTGATGTTGACCCACTCCCTGTGTTGCAGTGATAAAGATCACCCGACTGTCACCTCCACAACTGGATCACTGATTGTGCCTAAGCCCCTGGACACATATCTGAGGCTGCCTTTGACTTACTGTGCAGGGCCTGCCTTACTGAATCTCTGGGCTTGCCTGAGGACAGCTCCCCTTAGACTTTAGGATATGGCTGTTTGCTTGCCGCACATGCAGTGTGTTTGCCACATAAGCTGCTGATGTGAGATTGGCATTGCATGTTGCCATACAGCAACATGTCCATCCCCTTGACTGGTGACCGCTGACCAGCATGACAAGCTGCCTGGCTTTGTGCCTATGCTAAACTGCAAGGCAATGCAGTAGCACTGTGAATCTTTAAGCTCTGGATGAGCACTAAAATGCAAGGCATGCCAACGATGCAGTGAACATCCAGATAGGTGCTAAGTAAATGAGCACTAAGGGAGCACGTGAGTAGCCCTGAGATGCAGCCTGGTCCAATATGGGTGCCTGTCCCTGCCCGTGAGCTGTCCTTTTAGCAGCAATATAATGAGAGGTGCCAGTGCACACCAAAGTGCAGCAATGATTTGGATTGGACATGTCCCACCATGGTATAAAGAGGCTGGTATGTGTCAGATACCAGCATCTGTGACCATGGTCTGCATGTGGTCACTTCCCATGAAGCATACCTTGAGACATTGGTCCAAGATGGAGGTTCGGACAAGCGGGTGGCAAGCTGGGGTGGCCTGGTACCCGCTGTCGATTTCATGCCAGGAATTCTCAGTATCTAGTTTCCCACCAGTAGATAATACAATGGGGGAACCTGCAAATTAATGAGGCAAGATAAAGTCGTAACGACAGTGATAATGAGCAATAATCCCAGTTAACAGGCCTCTTAGAGCTCACTAGCAGGAATCTTAGCTTAACGTCTGTAACTGACTAGGATAATATGACTTGTGGGTCCTGATGTCGTAAAAGACCTTACTCAACTTCTCGTGATTTTCCCAAATCTTTTACCATTATCCACATAATTCATACCTTGGGAATATTCTGTCCTCTATGAGCAATTCATATATAGCGGCTGATGAGAAAACTGAACTATTATTGCATATGATTTGACGGCTAGGGTTGTTTTCCTTGGGGCCTAGGAGACTGAGGAGGGACGTGACTGAGATGTATAAAATTAAGAGGAGGACAGATAGGGTAGTCAGGAAGAAACTTTGCTCCTTGGTGGAGGGTTCAGTTACCAGAGGCATAGATTTAACAAAAGGGACAGGAGATTTATAGGGGATGTGAGGAAACGTTTTTCACCAGAGGGTGGTGGGAATCTGGAATTATTTCCTGCGATGGTGGAAGAGGCAGAAACCCTCATAACATTTAAGAAGTATTTAGATGTAAACTTGCCATGTCAAGGCTATTGGCCAAATCCTGGAAAATGGAATTAGGATAGATACATGGTTGTTTCTGACTATTGCAGACTCAATGGGCTGAAGGGCCTTCTTTTGTGCTGTAGACCTTCAGGACTGTATGACCTTATGAGAACAGTTGTGTGCATCATCTTTAACATGGGTAACTTGCAATGTAAAAGATAGTGCGTGCAAATTTGATTTGTTTATTTTTTTCTGTATGAAAAGAGGAAGATTTGGGGTAGAAATGCAGCAGTGCACTAATGTGCCTCCTTGCTTGATTTGTTCATATGATCTCCATGATGAGGCACACTCACAGCAGGCATCCATCTTTGAACCAGTCCAAAAAAGACACCGCAAAAGCCAACTGTTAAAGATCATCAAACTTTATCGATTTCAATGCTCTCTGTTTTGCAACAATAGTGTGATGAATGCAAAAATGTGAACACTTTAGACCTACCCTTTCACTAGGGAGTTGTAATTTCACAGAATCACCACATTACTACAATCTAGAAGGAGATCATTCAGCTTATCATGCCTCTACTGGCTATTTTATCTCATGTCAATCTCCTGACTTTTCCCTATAACCCTACACATTGTTCCTGTCCACTGACCAGCTTGGTGCCTCAATTGAACCTGCCTCCACCACATTTCCAGGGAGTGCAATCCCTACTCTAATTACTCAGTCTTAAAATGTTTTTCTCACATTACCTTTACTCCATTTGCTCATCACTTTAAATCTGTCCTGCTTATGCCACATGGATTGTTTTTGTGTTGAAAAATTGATGTGAATTCAAAAGCATAGTATGATTCAGAACTCGACAGTTTAGAAGTGAACCTTGGGGATCTCTGCTTTTAAAGTAGGAAAAATAAATGTCTTTAAAATGGCAATTTATTGCCTGTACCTCTGAAGAACCATGGAACTGTTAATAAAAGAAACGATCATTGCAAATCAGACCTAATTTGAACTGAAACAGAATTGTTATCAATCTAATATTCATTCCTTCAGTGGCCTACTTGTCACATTCCCACAAATTTTATATGTTTAACATCAAAATACGGCCGATATGTCTGTGCACAGGAAAGCAAATATACAGCAAGAAGATGATCTAAAAATAGAACTGTATCAAACCTGATCAATATTAACAGGATGTAAGAGATCCTCTTGTTAGAATTATGTGAAAATACTGTAAGTTTCACATATTTGCAACATTTCTTCAAATAGGTAGCAAAGCATGAACAATTTTTCAAGTGTTACATTAAATTACATTGAATCTACAGCAGAGAGAAATAAGTTTGTTTTCATTACATGTGCGTCAGTGCTAATATAATTGTAGATTGGTGCTAATTAATGGACATTGATTTCAAACTGTGCAGGACATTGTCCTTATGGTCTGAATCATTTCTGTTTTTATTGTGTGTGCTTCAGGAACTGACAGTCATCGCGCAATCACTAAAAGCAAAAAGATGACTTTTCTAACAGTAATTAAGCTCTGGTGACCAAAAAAAGCTGTCAGTGAACCAGACATTTAGTGCTGGATGACCAACGTACTTTATCACCTGGATCAGTGCACAGTCATTTCTCTGGATAATACATTTTAAGAGCTTCATCCTTTATATTGTCTAAAATAAGCAAATTTGAATTTAATAAATATGAAGAGACTTGTGAAAATTGAATGTGTAGTGACACTATCAAACAGAACAGCTCGGAAATTCGGCATTGGCCATCTTTAGACTTACAGAGGATGAAGGGTAAATGCTGCACTAGTATTGAGTTTCAGACTTCATTGTAATAGAGTTGATGAGGTCCCATAGGCCACTACCTTTAAGAAAAAGGAAGAAACCTAAGGTTTTGGAGCAGATTTGTAGCTCGGTTTGTTGGTGTTGTGGTTGGTTGGCACCGAGCTGGTTTGTTGTTCCACAGACGTTTCATTACCCTGCTGGGTACCACCTTCAGTGCAGCCTCCGATGAAGCATCGGTGTGTTTTCCCACCTGGTTTTTAAACTCTGGGGTCCGTTGAGCTGGATTGCCTCACTTCCGGTTTTCCTTCGTAGTGAAGTATATATGGGGTCAAGTTCTATATGTTTATTAATGGCTTTCTTCGTGGAGTGCCAGGAATTTCTAGGAATTCCCGTGCCTGTCTCTGCTTAGCTTGTCCCAGGATCTTGGTGTTGTCCCAGTCGAATTGGTGGTTCTCCTTATCCATGTGAATTGAGATGAGTGAGTATTGGTCATGTCTTTTTGTAGCCGGTTGGTGTTCGTGTACCCTTGTTGTTAGTTTCCTTCCTGTTGTCTGATGTAGTGTTTCTCACAGTATCTGCAGGGGATCTTATAGATGACATTGGTCCTGTCCATGGCGGGGAGTGGGTCTTTAGTTCGGGTGAGCAGTTGTTGTAGGGTTGATGTGGGCTTGTGTGCCACGCTGGGACACACCAAAGACACGACCAATACTCACTCATCTCAATCCACATGGATAAGGAGAACCACGACTTCAACTGGGACAACACCAAGATCCTGGGACAAGCTAAGCAGAGACAGGCACAGGAATTCCTAGAAGCCTAGAAAGCTATTAATAAACACGTAGAACTTGACCCCGTATACACTCCACTTCGAAGGAAAACCGGAAGTGAGGTAATCCAGCTCAATGGACTCCAAAGTTTAAAAACCAGGCGGGAAAACACACCGGCGCTTCATCGGAGGCTGCACTGATGATGTTACCCAGCAGGGTAACGAAACGTTTGCGGAACAACAAACCAGCTCGGTGAGCCAACAAACCTCAAAGGAAGAAATATTTGAAGAAAGTTCATCTACGTATAGCATAGAAAGATGCTACATTCATACAGCATCTTTCTTGACCATCATACATCTCACATCACTTTTGAAGTGTTATAATGTAGGAAACGTGGCAGTCAAGTTGTTTGCTGCAAATTCTCATAAACAGAATTATGATAAAAACCAGATAATCTTTTATTTTCTTGTGGTGTTGATTGAGGGATAAATATTGGCTAGGTGATGGGGATAAAACCCCCTCATGACAGCCGTGTAGCAGACTGGGCTCCTCGGAATAATGTCTGATCAGAAAGATGGCACCACTGACAGTAGAGAGCTCCCTACACTGGAGTGTCAGCCTTAATTTTTGTGCTGAAGTCCTTGGAGGAATCTGGCACAAAATCAGACCCATGATAGTGCTGCAATGGGGTACTTGGGTAAGTATTTTGAGCAGTATTCTCAAGGATGCAAGAGATAATAAATCAATCTTTGTTGAATAAAAATGACTGTTTGCACATGGCTTCCGTTGTGTTTTATTTGCTGACTTGCTGCATGCTGTTGTACAATTTCTTGAGGTTTTACAATAAACTGTACATGGCGTTCCATAACACCATTTCAACATTTCTATTGATTCAAAAGTCTGAACTCTCCTGTAAGTTGGAGGTTCATTTGATAGCACAACATTGGGAGGCTTTATGTTTATAAACTACATGAGCTCCAGGACCTACGCTGTTCCACTCTGCTGCAGCTGTATAGCATTATTGTGCAGTCCTCTTCTATCACCATCCAAATCTTAGGGCCAACTAGTGCACAAACGCTTGAATACTTTTCACAGCAGACTGGTGTTATTCAAGGATGAAAAAATGAATCTATTGGGAATGAATCTTTGCAAGCAACTGGTTCTAAGATTTCAGTGGAAAGCTGGTCACTTTTATTTTGTCTGCAGTATTACAGCTGTATTTTTGTAAAGATTTTTCATTCCTTTCTGTGATAGAAATTTGAAAATGTTAAGAGGCAACAGATTAAGAAGACAGTAACATTGATTGGTGTTTGGTTTCCTGGTGGTTCTATCCTGGACTAAAGAAGAAAATACTTAAGGTTTATTTGAAAGAGGCATTATTTCACTTTTAAATCTTAAAAAATGCAGACCTGGAAATGTCAGCAGAGATCTCATGATTGGCACAGATAAAGAAACACGTTGAGTTAGTTTTTTTTTTAAGTAGCACAATCCCAGATCAAATGTAAAGGACAGGCTTATTTTATTTTACCATTTAGCCTTTTGAATTTCGATTTCTCTTTCCTCTGCAGCTTAAATCCATACAGCTATGATGAAGGCTGTCTGAGTAGCAGTGAAGATCACATTCCACTGGCTGCACTGCCCTTGCTCGCAATCTCTTCCCCACAATATCAGGATGCAGTCACAACAGTGATTAGCAGAGCGAATCAGATTTACAGTGAATTCCTGAAGTCTGTGGATGGGATTGGATTCAATGGCCAGGTTAGTATTCGATTCTGAATGGGCAATTGTTCAAACTCCATTAGATCTGTTAAGGTGACATGAATTGATCACACTTAGTGTCCCGTTTTGTATATAGCTTCATAAACAACAATGTTAACCTTTTCTCAGGTCAAGATAAAGCAGAGGACCTGCCGTTTACAGGCTACATTAGTTTTGCAGATTTACCTACAAAAAGCCTTTGTACAATCATCCAATGTGTGTGAGTTTGCTATGTGACTAGGATCCTTTGGTAGCAGTGAGTCCTGGATTTCCTGAGAAAGGGGGCTTTTAGTCCACCAACACAAGAATGGGCAGGTTTTAGAATTAAATAGATATGGGTATGTGGAACCTGTTCATCCAGGAGTCAGCTGTATGCTTCTCAGCTGACAGGACGTATAACGTTCTCAGCGGTATTTCCTTATTGGTGTACTTAAAGAAATTCCAATATGACTTCACAAGGAGGGTACTGAATGTGTGGAATGACCTGTCTAGATACACACTGGAGGCATTAATGATAAAAGCAAAATTCTGTGGATGCTGGAAATCTGAAACACTCTCAGGGAAATCTGGAGAAACTCAGCAGATCTAGCAGCATCTGAACAGAAGAAACAGAGTTAACATTTTAAATTGAGACTTCTTCAGAACTGGACGCAGACGGTATATAGAAAGGAAGAATTTGATGAATAGTTGAAGGAGTGGTTGATTTGAGAGGTAATCATTTCATGTCCCCTGCTTGGATGACCAAGAGAGTGTTCTAATACCTCGTAAAGTACCTTCACAACGAAAAATGATGGGTGATGTCAGGAACAATGTGATACAGTGGCTCAGCACACTGACTTTCCACATGGACTTAAATCTCCTACAGACTTTTGTTTAATTGTAAGGATCCAACTGGAAACGGTTCGGTGTAATTTAACTAAGTTTTTGGTTGCTACAGGTCCACAGTTAAACTGCTCAGAAAGCTCAAGACAGACATAATATTTCAATGACTTCCCTGGCTATAACTCCAGAAGTAGAATGTTATGGTATTGCCTTTAATTGCAACAAATACTGTGCTTTGTACAGAATACCAAAATTAGGGGAGATAGACCTGAAGGATTAAGACAGCGTCTTTAAAGATAACTGTGCCATTTGTTTTCTTCAGGGTGGATAGAATTCTCTGCATTTTGCAAGTGAATTATTCTGTGAATCTTTGAATCAAAACTTATGGTGATCCATTCCAACTGGAGATAAGATGAATGCCTTATCCCGAATAGATAAAATCTTGCTTTGATTTTCTGGTTCCCACAGTGTGTGCAAACTAACCTAATTTATCTTCAAAGGCTGAGGCAGTTGGGAGCATATATATAATCTCAGAACCTTGGACTGTTGAATAATGCATAACTACTTCATGTGGATATAATTGAGATATATATGTAATGAATAGATATTCCTCTGCAAAATTCAACAGAATTTGTCCAAATATTATTGCTGTTCACATCACATGATACAATGTTGCTTCTGATCAAAGCATATTGATTAAGAATAGATAGATGCCAAGAGTCTTCTATCAAATAATCTGTTGGATTTTCTGTGCTAAGAAAACATTGGAAACTGAAAATGGTAGCTGATAGTAATCAGTGTTACGTTTATATGAATTATAGAATAAGTGTGGAGCATGAAAGCTGTTTTACTGCAGGCATGGAAATCCAAGCTTTTTGTGCTGCTCCTTTATTTTTTTAATCAAGAATGAAAAATTCAGGAGAAAATAGTTAACCTCTTAAAACCCAGGTATTTGAGAAAAATCATTATTTGGATCATCAATAAAACTTGATAAAACAGAATCAATTCCAAAATAATTTCTAGTGAGTGAAAGATAAAGGCAATAAAACAATACTGTGTTCACTGAGAAAATGCTGGAAGCCAGTCGGGTTTCTGAGGAGGGAGGCTTTAGGATTTATGTTTCAACCTTTCTGACTAGCTAATGAAGAACTGTACGGGTCTTGTGATTGAAGTGTGATCTCTGTACTTTTCTGTCTAAGGATGCTGCCTAACATTTTATTTCAGATTTGCGGCATCTGCAGGATTTTATTTCTTGCAAACAAACCACTGATTCTCTATTGATCACCTCTTTAGGGCAAAAAGTTTGTTTCTTCCAACATTTGATGCCCAGACAACCAAAGTTCAACTCCTCTGAAGGTTGATCTGTGAAATGATCCCAGCTTATGGTAATGCTGGTTAAGTCTGATTCCAGAGAAATCAGAGAGATCTGGATTGATAGATCATGAGCAGAATTTTCTGCTCCTTTGAGCAGCACTGACTTGGCAAGAAAATACAGTAAAAATCAACTTCTTGATGAAAAGAAAAATAGTGTCTGATTTTCCCCTTAGGGTTTAAACGACAGGTTCAGAATCTTGCTAATGAATAGCAACTACCTCAATGCCATGCATTTGCATCTTGTTATTAACCAAACTGGCTTCCTTTCTATGCAGCTTTTAATTCTCCTCTCCATCCCTGAGAAAGTAGACCTCGCCAACAATATCCACGTCCCATTAGTGGGAAAAGAAAACTGTCTTCACAACAACACTCTTTGTGTTAGACACTGACCTTTTCAACCCTTCAGCCAAGCAAGTTGACATTAGCAAACCACCAGCCCCAGCACATCACCATGCCTACTTTCAAACCAACTCACACACCATTTCAGCCCATCAGGACTTCACTTTGGACCTTGGGACACTTTGTAACTTGCCAGCTTCTGCAAAGTACCTCTGTGTGTAGGGATGCGTGCATCTTGTATATCGACACCTGCATTTTAAGGACTACTTCCTTAGCACTCACTCACTTCATTCTTACTTAGAAGATGTGAGCTTCTGTGGCTGGCATTGCTTTGTAGCACAAAGGATGAGTCATGAAACTTGTCATGATTCAGAGCAGTGAACAGTCGAGCAGGTAGATATATTTCTGTACTGCAGCATGTCACGTCAATATCACATCTACAGTGACACATGGAGAATACTCTGTATGGGCTTCAATTGAATGGCTTTTGTGAAAGGCAAAGGGGAAGCAGTCCTTAGTCCAGACAAAGGGGCCTGCAGTCAGCTGAGGTCTCAATGGACTCCAGTCTGGGGGAGCCGGCCAAGGTCAGTTCTGCAGGTCAGATACATCCTGTCCAGGGATGACAGGTCCAGCAGTCAGGCTGCTGTAGGGGGAGGGACATTTCCTACAATGAGACAACATGAGAGATCAATATAACGACAATGGATGGAAGAGCAGACAAAAGGTGACACATGATCAAGGGATGTCATAAGTTGTCCAAAGTGAGTAAGAAGGGCATGAATGGTTTGTAGTTTGGGAGGCTGAGGAGGGTGAGAGCTGTTGAGTGGATGCATGCAATAATGAGAGTTGCACTCCATGAGCCTTGGAGAGTGGTGTGTGCAGTAGCAGAGTTAGGATAACTGGTGATGGTGTGAATGGAATGGAGCAGAGAGACGACGGTGGCACTTATGCAGCAGATTCATGCTGAAGATAATTAACCTACTCCCTGCATGTCTGTGTGTCATGCTGACTGAACCTGACAGTATGGCCTCCTTTACTGATCAGCAGGAAAAAAGCATGGACTTCCTTTCTATCACTCCATCTACCAGCACTTTCAGGCCCCTGTTTGTGAATGGAGGCGTGAATGTGCCTTTCTGGGCCCTGTCCTCAGAGGTAATACTGGAGTCCTGAGGGGTCACACTGATACATCACAGTGTAAATACCGTATCCTGGCTTGTTGCACCTGTGGTGCTGCAGGGATGGGGTTTAACTATGGCATCAGTGACAAGAACATTGTACACTCCCAACTGTGGTGAGTATTTCAGACTTACCTGTTGCATGATTCCACAAAATGGCCATTTGCAGATTGAATGAGATGAAGGGTAGGAGATAATGTGATAGAAGTGACAGGAGACCTGATGGATCAGGCAACATAAATCTCACTCAGGGAAAAGTGGAAAAATGGGAAAATTCAGCTCATCAGTTTTAATTTTGAAATTTGATTACCATGCTGGTCAGTCACTGAACACATTTGCAAGAGACTTTCAATTTATTGGTAACAAAATAACTAAGTTTGTTACACAAAAATGAGAGGAGAAACAGCATATCACAATTTGGAAAGATGTTATCATAAACAGCAAAGAGAAAAATTTAACCCTTTCTCTCAGCAATATCCTTTACAGAGACTAAACCAAAGTGAAGTGTCACTCCTATCTTCACTCTTTCTTACTCAAATGACCAGGTCACAAACATTTTCTTCCAGTGACCTTGTGCACATTTACCAGATGTCATTTTCTCCATCTGTTTCTTTCCAATGTACACAGCCACGTGCTAACTCACCGACATTTTCTTGCTGCACTTGAAGACACAATGCTTTTTCCAGCCCTGTCTCCTTGGATTGTTAAAACAGCTTAAGACTTCTTTCCAACTAAGATGGCCCATAGACTGCCAAAGATAAATTGCCATTCTACTGGTATGGATTTTTATTTTTGTACAGAGCCTAACTTTAACGTAATAACACAGAGAGAAATGACTGTGGATGCTGGAGTTCCGCATTAAGAGCAGAAAAAAAGCTCCAAATACTCAGCAGGTCAGGTCACATTTGTTGAGAGAGACACATTAGCTATTGTTTCAGGTCTGTGACCTTTCATCAGAACACAATAAAAAGTCATGGCCGTCAAATGTTCTTTGGAAGTCTCTGGTCCTTTCGAGGGTGGGCAAGGTGTTAGGAATGTTGGCAAAATGGCAGGAAAAGGTAGTGAGAGGGGGGTGTGACGTCTTACTGCAGCCACTGATATGTTGCCAGTGGTGGGATGTTGACAGGTCAGCCATTCCCTGGAAGACCCATTGAGCTACTGACGTGGTTTGTTACTTGCATCAGGAGCACCTGCTGCCACATGGGAAGACTGCCAGGCGAAAAGTGCCTGCTTGCCTATGGTTACTGTTGAGTATGGCCCAGATTACGGGCACCCCATTGCCCATGGAATGGCTCCGGCAATGACTGGAAGCACCATCTCTGTGGTCAGCAGATTCCCTTCAATCCCCAATATTTGTTGGTTCCCCAAGCCCAACTCTTTTATGTTTGAGAATCACCTACAACTGGGGCAGCCGCTTCCTGGAGGAGCAACTTCAGCAATGCCACTGTTCGTGGGGGCACTGATAAGTTGCTGGCCTGTCTGGTTGAGCTGTCGGTTCCTAGGGTTAAGATGCTGTGCCTTTTCGACTGGTGGGCCCAGCAATGGCCTCTTCAGTTGGTTGCTGTCAGCAATATGTTTGCATAGATTCCGCCATCTGTTTTCACCTCCCACTTTTGCATCCAGTGGTTTCTCCAAAAAAAAATCCAATCCACTATTTTTTTTTAGCTTTTCCACAAATATGGGGAGACCTGTTGGATGTTGATAGTGAGTACTTAGGACAATGTGTCTGCTTTTTAATTCTATCCCTCTAGAAATATACTGAATGCTTTTGTTGTTTTCTTTAAGAGCTTGATTATCATGTGTTTCCATGACCTGTGTAGCTGTCCTCCTAGATCCTTCTATTCCTCTACTTCACTTCGATATTGATTTTCCAAGGGGTGCATAACTTCCTTAGAATTCTTGCCAGATGTGTTACTTTGCAGTTTCTATGGGTGATGATGTTGAATAACTTTTCAAACATTTCTGTTGTATATAAGAATTTCACCTTAGCCACAGGTGTAGTACAGCCCTGAAGTACAGTGCAGATTTTAAGTTGTGTATGTAACACCTACATTAATGCTTAGCCTGGCACCCTTAGATTAAGCTGTCGTGAACCTGAAGTGATAATTTCCAGATTTAATTATTTGGTGAGATGTTGTTATATATCAAACGCATGAAGCACCCTCGTCAATATTCATGATAACATCTGATTTTGATTTTAAGTCTAAATATAAATAACGTCCTTGGGACTTCAAAATAATATTGAGAAATGTAATGGACACTTGCAGAGCTTAACATGATCCTAGGTTTTCATGAAGATTCTGGTGGCAGTTTTAAACTATTCAGTATTTTCCTTGATGAAATATAATGGCATCTGAGCCTTCAGTGAAACTTTGACTGTGTATTTGCCGGTCCATTCACTAAATGTCTACTAATATGTGCAGTAATTAAAAATCCAAAGACTGTGTTATGCATAGATAACAACAGTTATATCTTGGAGTTATGCAGAGATGATGCAGAAATTCATAAGTGTGTCGGAACTTTATTTACAGTGCTTTAAAATGTCTACTCTGTCAGGCATTTAGCATCTTCCAACAGCTAATTTCCAGCTTTGATTACTTTAACTAATTAAGCCCAGTGAGCATCAATACTAAAGAAAATCACATAATCAAACAGAGAATGACGAAGACCGGAATAACATTACTTTTGATGTTAACAAAAGTGGGATGAGAATCAGGCAGATGGGACCAACGTAAGCTCCAAATTCTATTGATCTTGGCAGCACAGGGCCTGGTGATTTTAAGAGTTACAGTCAAGCCTTGCGATTGGAATCAGGGGCCGTCTCTGGGGGTCAAAACCATTGAGGAGCCTCTGGCTGAAATACAGTCAAATTTACTGATACCAGCAGACCCAGCCACACTTGTAGGGAAAGGCATTGTCATTACCACTCATTCAGAAGAGCAGGTTATAAATTGAAGACCACAGGCAGGGAGCCAGATGTAAACCAGTAAAGTCTCTCAAACATTGTTCACTAGCCACTAGCCAGATAAGCAGGCAACCAATTACACTTCAACAAAGTGGGCCCTGCCTCCATTCCAAGAAGCAGGGAGTCCACTGGATTATGCTGAAGACCCCACTACCATCACTCATCCGGAACAGCCCAGTATTCCTTTCCAATCTCAATTTTGAACTTCAGTTCACAAGAGGCCTGTTCGCGAGATAGGTGACATGACTAAATTGTGCCCTTTGGATAAGTTAGTAGTCACTCCTTGTGATCAAGAATAGTGGAGAACATGTTTGAAATTAGGAAATGTAACTGTAGAGTTAACTGGTTGAAGAAGTCCACCAGAGAACTGGGTGGGGGAGGGGAGTGTGTGGTGGTGTGGGTGTATGGGGGTAGGTGGATGGGAAGGTGGAAGTGCGAGGGAGCACACCTCCATGTTGCAGAGCTTTCCAAGGAAATGAAGGTATTCTTATGGACAAAAATTACATTTGCATTGCTGATATGGGACACAGATTCACATACGTGCAATTCAGTATAATGAAACGTATAGTGTTATATTACCTGATGTGGAATATAGCTATATGGAGATCATTCATATGAGGAGGAACCTGTTATTAAATTTGGTTCTTTCATTGTGGGTTTAAGTACATGGAATGTGATAATTCACACAGGAAGAAACCTGCTATTACATTTGGCTGTCCCAGTCTAAGTTACAAGGCTGTAGAGAATGGTAATTAAATAGACTGAAACCTGCTATTATGCTTGGCTCTCCTATTGTGTCTCTAAATATGTGGGGAATGGTAGCTGCATTGGATGAAACCTGTTATTTGGCTCTCCCATTGTGGAGTTTGAAGACATGGGGAGTGATAATTACTCTGGGGGGAATATCTGCAGTTCCATTTGGCTCACCTGATACATGCAACGTATAGATGGTACGATCTAATACAGTATGAAAACCGACATGGCCACCCTTCATCTCAAACACACTTAAACCATTAAATGGAGTAGTATTCCAAAGGAAATGATCATTTGTTTTTGTTTTATCCACAATAGGTTTGCTTGATTGGGGACTGTGTTGGAGGTATCCTGGGATTTGATGCCTTGTGTTACAGTGCACATACGACATGCGAAAGCCAGAACAGCAGCAGGAGGGGGAGTATTGGCAGTATACAGGTACCAGAAATTTTACAGGAATATTCAATTAAATACTGACTAGAGTAAAAATAAAATCAACTGACCTAGCACCAATATGTAAGTGATGTCAATGGGTTTGAACCTGTTAGGTACTTGTTTCTGATTTAATTGGCATTCCAGTCTGCTTTGTTCAGCATGAAGAAACGGTAATGTTCTCTTCTTTTTCTGCCTCCTTTGATAATGCTGACTTTAACCCTCTTGAACACAATAGTAACATCCTCACTCCTTATCAACATGAACTGAATTATGTTGTTCACACTGTGATAGAACGGTCGGTAATTTTGAAAAAGATTCTGTGTCTGCAACAGGTTCTTCGAAGAAATGGAAAAATGTTGAATTCTACCCTATGATTCTCACAAACCATTTGCTAATCACTGTTTCTTTTTACTTCTACAAAAGGATAACACACTTTTAACAGATGAAGCTGGATCCGACTTCAGCTCCAGCAAACGACTTAGCAAAAGCAACATAGACATCTCAGGGATTGATGCTGAAGAACAAAGGAAACCATTTCCAAGGAAACAAAGTGACTCTTCTACCTACGATTGTGATCCCATTGCACAGAATCATGCTTTTCTAACAAGGTAGCAGTCACAGAGGCCACAAATCAAGATTGAGTAGAAACATTGGGAAAGGAATGGTGGTACTTTATTCTGTAAACCATAAAAGGCAATTCAAATCTAGTAGTTTTAATTTTATCGGCCAAGACCTTCTGATTGGAAAGTAGTCATTGCAGCAGCGTTGCTGTAAATTGTGTATTGGGACCGTGCGGAAGTCCCAATGAAATTGAAAGTACAGGAATTGTCCTAGAAGTTGGATCTTCCAATAGGCCATTACCCAGCATCTGGAACCCTCTGAAAAAGGCCCCTGACTCTGAGATAGAGTTGGAGACTTTGGGTGGTTCTGACTTAATTTGCTTAATGGTCACTCAGAATAAGTTACAGAAATTAAAACCTACTCTAACTTCTGGATAGTGATTAAACTGACACCACTGTCCCCCTCCTTGACTAACCTCCTCCGATCTCAAATACCCTTGGACATTTGACCCGTTGATGGACGTGACGCTTGCTCCAATTTGACTTGGTCCTTTCTTAGGCTCCAAAGCCCGCTATTCGCCATAGATACCTAAACCCACCAACCCTCACTCCTCACCGAACCCCTTCAGACATTCCTACACCTAACTCCATCCCTGAATTTCAGCTGACACACTGTCCAGACCTGAACCCCACCACCAACCAATCTTTATGCCTGCACTGACCTGCCCTCTGCCCTCATCAATTCGCTAACTTACCATCTGCTGTCCTACTCACCTACCACTCTACCAAGCACTTTACTCACTTACCTCATCCACAGTGCCCACTCACCTACACTTATCCTCCAGAAGAGACAATAAATAACATTGAATAGTGAAATGATAAGAAAAATGAATTGTGCTTGGAATTAGTAGATAACAATGACATTAAATCTTGAGGAAATAAAAATCGTTACATTACAATTAATCAGTAAAAATAGCATTAAATGTTTAAAAAGAACAGGGAAAATTATAAAATGCTATGTAATGCCTGTAGAACTTTTGTCTTTAAGTGTCGATCTCTCTGGTTGTTTTGCTGCTGCTGCTTGTAAAGACATTACCAGGTCCTCTGGTGTCAGGGAAGGTTAGGCTTTGCCTTCAACTGCGCTGCATTCAGGCCGCAATAACAACTGTGATGGAGGCATTCAGGGTTCTCCAGACTCGGGTGCTTGACCGCAAAAAATCACAGGAAGACAATTTTTCACTTTTTTTGACAGGATTACCATTGGTAATTGGAAGGTCTGGGCCATAATTTCGGAGAAATATGTTTAGACTATTATGGAGTTTGATGAATTGGAGTATTCATTCATTCATTCAGTCCACACCAAGGGTTCCTGACTCATGTAGAGATATTGTGTGCTTGACATCCAGTATCTTCCCTGCTACATGTCCGTTAAGCCTGAATTTTGATGGTAAATGTTGACTGGCTGTTCATCAGAAGGTAGAACTATTTTTACGGACAATATGATTGGATGTCTAAAGCAGCACGTGTAATGTGCACACACATTTGAGGCAAACGTGCAAGACACTAAATTGATGAGGATATGAACACACAGGATAAATGGTTACCAGCTGAATGCACAGCAGGCACGTTAGATTTAATGGCAGTGGTCTAATTTTGGAGCTCAGAACTCCAGCAGCACCCTTACTTAGCCTTGCACAGCTGAATAGCTGTTCAGTAGTTAAACAGAGCCGTACCGTCAAAATGCCAGGTAATGGCCAAGTACAGCAGGGATAGAATCTAACCACCTTTCCTCAACATGCAATGGCATTACCAATGATGACTCCTCTGGCATCAAAATCCTTTGAAAGGGAAGTAACTGGACTGGCATATACGTACTGCAGCTACAATCTCGAGTTAGAATTGGAAATTCTTTAGCAAGTCATGCATATCCTGACTCCTGACACACAAAGCCTTCCCACTATCTACAAGACACAAGTCAGAAGTGATGCAGTACTTTACACTTGTCTGAATGAGTGCAACTACAACAATATTCAAGAAGCTCATTACAATGGAGTGCAAAGTAGTCTGCTTGATTGGCATTGCATTCATCAGCTTAACATTTCGCTCACTCCAACACCAGTGCGCAGGAGGAGCGTAGTGCACCATTTTTGAGAAGTATAGCAGCAAGTCAACAAGCACCTTCCAATCCACAACTGTTACACCCTAAAAGTCAAGAACAGCAGGTGCATGATCAAAAATTACCCTGAATTTGAACTATCATCTTTTTTTTTCCCCCACTAATTATGGGTCAAAATCCTGCAGCTCCTTTCCTAATAGCACAATGTGAATGCCTACTCCCCATTGACTGCAGCAATTCAGGAAGTTTGCTCATTATCCTTTCTCTGGATATTTTGGGATGGGCATTAAATACTGGGCTAGCCAATGATACCTACATCTTATGAATAAAGATAAAAAACAAGGAAATATCTGCTCCCATGCTACTTAATGGGACCATCAACTATGTTAAGGTCAGTTACTGATCCATTTCTCCTGGCTGTTGCTGCAATTGCACAAATGCTGAGTGCTTTCCCAGGTTCTTTAAAGTCCACAGTGAGTGGTGTGACAGGCACTAAGGGTGTTGGTCTTAATTCCAAGGTTTTGGCATAAACAGCTTGCTCCCAGACCTGGATAAGGTGCCAGGCAATGCCCTTGGAATACAACATGATTGAAGAGAGGCTGTGCAGAGCAGCTGAAGCTACTGGTGGTACAGGGTGCATGTGACCGTAAGCACATCAATCCTCATGTACTGCATGAAAACATTCCCCAATAACGGACTTGAAAGGGATTTCACTCCATCAACCTCCATCTGGGGTTTAACTAGGGGCACGAACTCTTGCAGATCACTATCCAGTATCCTGTCAGTAATCATGATGTGTTCATTCCCCCGAATGCCTACTGTATACACTGAATTTGAGCCACTTCAACATAGCCCTGGTTATGTATCTGCTTGTGACATGACTGACAATTTTATTATGAAACCTATTTAAATATTTGGAGCACAGGCGAATTGAAATCCGTGTTACCACAGAAAATGTGATAAGGCAGTACAATGGTGTGTTGAAGCATCTTGATTGCTTCTTGGACTGCTCTGAAAGATTCCTGCTGTGCTTGTGTGTGTGTGTGTGTGTGTATGTCAAGATTAGTTGCATTCTGCTACATCTGATTGGTACCCTATGTACTTCATTCGAAATTTACTCCTTCACCACCAATACACAGTAGCAGCAATGTGTACCACCTACAAGATGCACTGCAGTAGCTCAGCCAGGCTCCTTCAGCTACATGGGAGCATCACCATTTCCAAGCCACACACCATCCCAACTTGGAACTATATTGTTATTTCCTTCTGTGTCGCTGGGTCAAAATCCCTTCTCAACAGCACTGTGGATGCACCTAAAACCCATGGACTACAGCCACTCAAGAAGGCAGCCCTTCAAGAGAAATTAGGGATAAGCAATAGATGTTGGTCTAGCCAATGGTGAGCACATTTCATGAATAAATGCTACACAGCATTGCCATCAAGAGGGTACGGAACTTGCTACCAACTAGTTCGTGATGAGGGAGTGCAGCAGCATGGGAAGCTGGAGAATGGAAGGAGGTGACTCAGACAGCTCAGATTTAACCCGGTCATCATTGAAGAGCTAATCTGAATGCAGTACCAACAATGGCAAACCCAACTAACCACTCACCAATAGCCCACACCTTACACTCCCTTTCTTACTGACCAGCACAGCTTTCTTTTTCCCACAATACACCAGAAAATTCACTGCAAAATACTGATTGCCACCCACTTGTTTCAGTTGAAGCACAGGGTTCTTGTGGCATGTGGTGGTGTCCTGACATATGAGCTAGTAGGTCCAAGTTCAAGTCCCACCTGCTGCAGAGGTGTATCATACCATGTCTGGGACGTTTGATTAAAAATATCTATAAATGAAGCCAGTGCCAAGTAGCATACAAAGGTCAATTAATCACCCCATGCATTCCGGATCCTGACCCAAACATCAAATTTCCTGTTCCTCTAATGCTGCCTGGCCTGCTGTGTTCCTCCAGCTCCACACTATGTTATCTCTGACTCCAGCATCGGCAGTTCTTACTATCTCATGCACTCCCTTAATGTGTCTTTCCTTTGCTTTTGCCTGTCTTGTGCTGCTTTGCAATGCTACTCCAGTAGTTTTAGACTTTACTCGATGAAAAAATAGGTTAAAAACTGAGCTTGATGTTAGCACTTACTCTCTTGCCTTGCTGAGTTGACAAATTGATCCAGTAATCAGGCAACTGGAACAGAAACTTCACAGTGCATCATTGTCATCATAAAAAACAGCTCTCTTCGTCCGATTTATCTTTACTGCTAGCGCAGTAAAGTTGTCCTTTATTGAGTATATTTGTGACCCTTCAAATAACTGCAGGAAGGATTGCAGTTAGAAGGAGATGAGTTTGCATTGGCCTACTCTGCATTCTCTTTTTATCGGCAGTGTAGCAGGATAGGAATTGGTATATATTACACCATTTATACCTGAGGTGTTAATTGAATTGTTTGACATTAATGTAAATGATTTGGATAAGAATATAGAAGGCATGGTTCGTAAGTTTGCAGGTGACACCAGAATTGGCATAGTAGACAATGAAGAAGGTTTTCTAAGATTTCAAGGGGATCTTGATCAAATGGGTCAATGGGCTGAAAAATGGCAGATGGAGTTCAATTTGGAGTTTATTGCATTAAACAAGGGTGAGGTTTGTATAATTAATAGTAGGGCTTTGGGTAGTCTTGTAGAACAGAGGGATTTAGGGGTGCAGGTATGTAATTCTTTGAAGTTTGCATCACATATAGACAGGGTGGTTAAAAATGCATTTAACACGTTTGCCTTCATTGCTCAGACCTTTGAGTATAGGAGTTGGGAAGTCATGTTGACGTTGTAGAGGACACTGGTGAGGCCTCTTCTGGAGTACTGTGTGCAGCTCTGGTTACCCTGTTATGGGAAGGATATTGTTAAGCTAGAGAAGGTTCAGAAAAG